CTAAGGATAGGTCATACGCACCTCACCCATGGCCACCTTCTGCGCAGGGAGGAAGCCCCAGAGTGCGAGCACTGCAATAATCCTTTAACTGTCGCACACATATTACTAGAATGCCCTGCTTATGACCTAGACCGACGGAAACATTTTTCTCAGCTATATAAAGAGCATACTCCTTTAAACCTCCCTATTTTGCTTGGCAACGAACCATTAGTTCCTCATCACTGCGTTTTAGCTTCTTGAAAGCTATCGGCCTTTTACACCGACTATGACTTCACACCGAACTTCATGCCCATAACTACTTACAAGTCATACACATAGTTTTAACCTATCATCAACTACTAAAGTTCTATCCTCTTCGAAACCCTATCTGCAATAGTGTATGTACCTGGCGCATCATTGCCTAAGATGCTTTTGTGCCATAAAACCCCAACCAACCAACCAACCAACCTCTTTGCTAATCGTTTAATTCGTCTTAAAATTCCTTTTCGTAACTTTTTTAACAAGATATTGGTATTTTCGATGTGATGCTGCTTTATTGAACACATATAGACCTAAAAATGAGCGCCGTAATTTTGTTGTAGTGTCCCTTTAAACAATCATGCCATCAGGGTGATCACGGGTCTGCCGCGATTCACTTTCTTGAACAAGCTACGACAATATGCCCAACTCAACTCCATGCGGGAAACTGTGGAGACAAGAGAGAAGTCACACATAAAGCGGCTGAAACACACAGCTGCCGGGAGAGGCATACTTGGACAAACAAACATGGCATACATGGTGTACACGTTGCCTTCACTACCAAGAGAGAATCCGGCGTGGATATCGCATTTCGACATCACGGACGGAAGACCAACAACGGAACCGAACGCGAACCCGCAGAACCAGGCAAGAGGAGAAAGGCTAGCAAAGGCCCATCATAAGATGATCCAAAGCTGGGAAGACCCCTCGAAGATCCTCGGAATATACACGGACGCGGCGCATGATGCCGGTGAGAATGTGATATGTGCTGCAGTAGTCATACCCAGACCTTGCAAGGCGCAATTCAAATTCCTTCCCAAGGGGACAACTGTCAAGGGTAGGGAACTCTCCGCAATTTCCCTAGCACTCAAATCTGTCAGGGACCTACGGAAATCAGAAGCAGCGACGCCGCAAGACATCCGCATCTTTGCGGATTCAGCCGAAGCTATTTTGGAATGCAGCGAAAGATCCAGCGCCAGCAGAAAGGTGAAGCTGATCAAGAAATTGATCGGTGAACTTCGACAGCTGGGCACCAATACAAAGATATCCTGGGTTCCCGCACACGTGGGAATCGAGGGCAACGAGAATGCTCACGCACTGGCTCGCGCGTCTCTTCTGTCTCCCCTCCGCGAGACCAGACGTGAGATTCCACATTTAACAAACCATGACTACGCACGGCCTCCGATAGAGGCAGATCGTGCCAGAGAAATTGAGACTAATTATGACCCGGAAGAAAAGCGGCAATTTGTCAAGCTCGAGTGTAGGGAGAAACTCAGAGAAATCCTCCCAGACGCACCGGGAACAATTCCTCGAGGTTTCGGCCGGAGAGAAAAAATTATTCTAACGAGATTACAAACAAACCCAACATATACACCAGCGCGAATAGCCTCATGGTCGCGATCACCATCCTCTTCAAACCAAAGCCGATGCAATTTCTGCAACGACAAAACGAAGAAGGCCGACCAAACACACCTCATCTGGGATTGTCCCGGACTAGAGGCATGCAGAAGCAAACACAAACCGACGGAAATCGTCGCACTAGAGGGGTGGACTCACCCGCCAGGTTCCTGTGACAAATCAAGAAAAACGAGACTGAACTCGCTGCTTAAGTTCATCTTCGAGGCGGGCATCGACGTCTACTGCTATTTTTTTTTTTTAAATATCCAAAATGTGCAGCGTCCAAGCCAAGAGCTACTCGACGCACTCCCCTATTGCCTTTACCCTGTACTATGGTCAATAAAGCGCTTACAACACACAACACGGCTATTGTGGCTGGAAGAGGAAGTGTGACGAGCGGGAGCGAAGGGCTGCGCAGAGTTACGATGCAAACGACTGGCCTGAAGACTGCTGCGCCCCTCGTGGTGGCGAGGATTTTCATCGCACCACACACGCTGCCCTCAGTGCATGTGTTAAAAGGTCATATAGTGCGTTTTTTTTTTATATTTTAACTCAGGTTTGCGCAACTGCATCAGCTGCGCACGTTTCACCCGTTAAATCGTTCGTGCGCATAAATTTCGCGATGAAAATTACACGAAGAAATTTTCGGGGACCGCTAGGGTGCTGCAGTCAGCAGACGAGTTAAGCAGTGCCAAAAATTTTGAGAGAGCGTGGGATACAGAGTTTCCAACGGCTCGAACGCAGTGTCGAGGCCCGTTCACACTCTTGCGACCGAGTAAGACCGAGAAAGACCAGACGGGTTTTTAACCCTTTGGCGACTTCTTAGGACCGGATGCGCTAGAGCGGAGCTGGTCCTAAGAGATCGCAAGAGGCTTAAAAAGCGGTCTGGTCTCTCTCGGTCTTACTCGGTCGCAAGAGTGTGAACGGGCCTTCGTGGTGCGTGGGCCGCGTTTGTAATACGAGCTGCGAGGGGGTGACGAACGCGTTGGTCGCCTGCTAGCGTCTCAGCCTTTCCGCCTGCTTTCCTCCTCGCCACGCGAAAACGCAGCGCATGCGTACTTGCGACCAATCTTTGCCGGTGGCGTCCGCCGTTAATTGCAAAAGCACCCCGTAGTTTGAGATGGACCCTCTCTATAATGGCGGCACTCTCAAAGTTTCCATCGCCCCTCGCGCCCCTTTTCATCATTGCGAGCATACGGTGCCCGTCAGACATTTCCTTCTAGCCACCATAGTACGGCTGATGATCAGTGTTGACATCCCTCGGTTCTCAATCATTGATGTGTCGCGGATCCCTTGTGGATCGGCGGATATGATGGAGGACCCCGTTTGTGTTCAGGGAAAGGGGAAGGTTTAATTTAATTATGATAATGAGTTAATAAACGAATAAAGCTAAGAGCTGAAATAGACTTCTCTCATTGGCCTGCACACGAGAAAACTCACCCGAAATTTGGATCGTTTCATGTCAAAATATGAAAAACATACAGCTTTTAATTGCCGGGCTTGACTCATGGGGCAGAGCTTCGCGGACCCCTAGAATGCCTTTGCGGACCCCAAAAAGTCCACGGACACCCACTTTAAATAAACTTAACGAACCGTAATAAACCGTTTATGCTATTCCACTCTCGTGTGGTAAGAAATATATCGGACGAACTGGCCGGTGCTTAAATGATCGATTAAGAGAACACAGTTATAGCACCTACAAAGTCATTTCTGGACATCTTGGCATCCACTGCAGGGATTGCGGGTGCTCAGCAGATTTTGAGAAAGGTACCATAATAGCTAGGAGTAGGAACCCGCTCAAAAGAGAAAGAGTAGCGCAGAGATGATCGCGCACCTAGAAGATAATTGTGAATAGCTAGGAGTAGGAACCCGCTCACCAGAGAAAGAGTAGCGCAGAGATGATCGCGCACCTAGAAGATAATTGTGCCAGTAGCCCATCCCCGCAGTGTCCATCCCTAACGCTATCTGAAAAATAATTATAAAAATATTTAGCCCGGTGATTGCAATGGCTTTTGAGAAGACTTGAATAGACCGATCTCACTAAGCGTTGGGCGCATGCGTAAAGCCGCCATAACTTTAGTTCACAGGAGACAGACGGGCGTGCACGCGAGGGCTCGTGCCTTCTTGTGCTCTACACGCGCAGAGCTCCAGCGAGGTTGTCGCACGTGCAAAAAGACTAAAGTTTCCTGGATGCATTGCGGCAGCGGTGGCGTAGTCAAACTGGCTGGTGAGATCGGTCTATTTTTCCTTGTTTTCATTTATAACCATGTTGTATTTAAACTAGTTTCGTAAAGAGGAAGTAGAAGAAGAATAGAAAGAAGTTGTAACTCAGCGGTTGTGTTTGTCTCTTTGTGTCTCTCTCGTTTTGTCCTTGTCTTGCGCGCTGTAAACTCAAAATGAATCACCAACTCGCCCAAGCTTCCGTATTATCTCGACTCGCTCGCTCTTCAGTGGAGTAGAGTTTGCAGATATTTTGTGTATGTTTACTTTTCTGCCTGTTTGCAGGAGATAACTTGTAGCGAACTGAAGAACGCGGCCGTCGACAGCAATATTCTCTTCAACGGTTGGTCGTAAAAGTTTCATGTCGCCTAGTTGTACAACTGAGACGATAATGTTGACCGGAAGCACGTGGCCAATTCGTGAAGTATCTGTAAACAGTAATCCAACAGTGCCCATCTGAGCATACGGGGAGCGGTTAAAGAAAGATGCGGCTAAATCAGCGAGTACATGAGCGATTAAAACGGGCGCCGCGTGGCAGTATCAAAACAACCGGTGCTGGCGTTCCTACGTCACTTCCGCGCGTCGCGGCGTCGCTCGCATCTGGTAGATGCAGATAAAGCCGCGCGCTGCGCCTGTGGCGCGCCTAGTGGCGAGCGGCAAAGGGCGCGCAGCGCCCAGTTTCACCTCTTATGTGTTCCATGCTTAAAGCGCGAAACACATGTGCGACGAAACCTTCCGATCCGACGTGCGGAGTGCCGGAATGACCTTGGGGTGAGAGGGTTTTCGCAGCATCGGAGAGCGTGGAAAATTCTCGCTTCCGACCGTCGTATTGCGTGGTCGGACGTCGGATCGGACGGTTTCGTCGTACATATGTTTCGCGCTTAACGCGTCGCGATTAGCAGCGCTTGCATGTGGTAACTATTTTTGCTACATTGCTGGATTGACATGTTTGTAAGCGCTGTATTTCACACAGCCCCTCGCTGAGAAATTGACTTGCTTTTCTCGCTTTCTTATTATGTATGTAAACGCCCTACTGTTTTGATCCATTTGGGGCCTGAGTTATTGTGAAATTAATGAATTCTCATTCATATGTGCAGTCGGCAGCAAAGGTTTGCGGGGCACGAAAGCGCCAGCCGAAAAGACTGGCTGCGCCGTCTGACCGCGCGTTGCCGCTCTCAAGGCTCACGGTTTGCGCATGCGCTTGATTTCGTGTTCGCAGTCATGATTTATTTTTCCCGCTCGTTTCCGGTCGACGCTTACTAGATAACAGCACAAGGTGCCGCGAAATGTTATCTGTATCACGTGAGCTCCATGACCCTTCACGGTAACTTGAGACAGGCGCGCGGCATGACGGCTGCCAAACCGGCACCTTGTGCCGGCCCCGGTTATCTTCTGCGCGTCGGATGGAAGCGAGTAAAAGAACACATGATTGCGAGCACTAAAGGAAGCTTATTCTCGAAGAGTGAAACTTGAGAGCGTCCGCGCGCCGTGAGAAAGCGCAACCAGTCATTTCGGCTGGTGCTCCCGGCCGCGCTCCACAAAATTTTGCTGGCGACTGTACTGGTCGGTCCAAGGAACGCAGGTAAGCATTTTCCTGCATAAAGTACACATTGCCCCCCAAAAAGTTAATTTGACGTATTATTAACTGCGAGAATCTACTAAATCTTTATAAAAAATATAAAAAAACTTTATGTAAACAAAACGCTCGGAATAATTAACTGTTTAATTATATTGAGCAACAACTTTGAGTCGTAAAAAATAGAAGTGTGGTTTCGACAAAACGCGTGTTGTACAGCAACAGGAACTACAAAATATGCATTTTAAAATAGAATTCAGTAAAACGCCGAAGAAGGTTGTTAGAAAACACACTGAATTAAATACCTTACAGGGAAACTCCGCTAGAAAACGAAACCAAAATAAATTGCTGGTATCGCTTTAGTGACCCGAAATATCATGTCAAAGTGAAGCCGCGTACTGTACGAAAACCGGTTTCAAAGATGCGAGCAGCTGCTCTTTAGCGGGCAGTGAGCGGGTTGGTTTTTAGTCAAGGAACACTAACGCAGCACCCTCGTGACGTTACTTCGCGGTGGAACTTCGGTCGATTGGTTGTACCACGTATAGCTACACCCTTGCTTCGTCACGTCGCTGCCGTACGGCTGATGACCAGTGTTGCCGTCCCTCTAGCAGATAGCTTCGGTTTTGCAGTAGACGCCCGAAACCAAAGTTTGACGCGGGATATGCATAAAACTGCACAGAATATCGAGAAAAAAAAAGTACTCCTTGTAACTCAGGGACACTGTCTTATCTAAAAACAGTCCTTATTCCAAATTTTTAAATATTGACCGGAGTTGCCCTTTAATAAAGAGCCGCCTCTGGTGCTCCGATGCGAGAGCGCTGGCCTACGGATCCCCATGTGGTGGGTTCGAATCCCGGCCGAGGTGCCCGCATTCTGACGGAGGCTTATTGCGGAGAAGGCGCCGTGTAACCGAGCTTTCGGTTGCACGTCAAAAGATCCCCAGGTGGCCGAAATGAATCCACAGTCCTCTGCTGGGGCGTGCCAGATGCCCGTCGGTAATTTGGCACGTAAAATCCCTAAATTTTAACTTAAAAAAAAAATAAAACCACGTCTTTCCAGCCACCTCACTTTCTCTCTAAAAATAAAATTTCCTTATCTAACAAGGCCGCAGACGGCTCACTGATACACTTATCGGCGCCCCTTGTCTCGAAGACAAACGCTTCGTGAATTTCCCTACTCTTTTCCCTGTGCCGCCCTAGGATGGTTGTGTCTGACATTAAGTGGGTTCACGGGCATCGATCGCAATCTACTGCCAAATGCCCAATCGGCGTCTATTTGATGGCTAAAAAAAAACGTGCCCTCTCGCACGGTCATTTACTAACCTGCCTGTCTGCCCTACGTAGGTGCGCCCGCAGACGACAAAAGTTGTACATTCAAAAGCGTTTTTTGGTGTTTCTTTTTGCATTCGTCACTATTTCTCTCTAGAGCATTGATCCTCTTGCACAATGCCAAAAGCATTACCTGGGCCGAAAACAGGACCGGAACATTGTAACGCTCCGCAACTTTCTTCAAGTTGGGGGAGATAGCACGAAGGTAACGAGTGATGGCCGGTCTTGCTTTTTGCCGTTCGTGAACTTTTTGTGGAACAGCTCTATACTTTCTTCCAGACCACCCGCCACATCAGTCAATCGATCGTCTATTAAGTGCGGATTTCCCGCATAAGTCCCTGACTGATGATTTTTCACCTTCACTTTGCCTCTGTCCTTCGGGGCTTCTATCCAGTCATGAACCAACTAGCCCAACTCAACGTTTGTCCAAATAGGTTACTCAGTCATCGGTACCGTGTTCTAAAGTATGCAAGCTCCACCAACATTCAAAGAAGTCACTACAATGCAGTACGCGCATTATATAGCTGTTTTTTTTTTTAATATCGTTTATATTGAATAAATTTACACGTTCTAAAAATGAATAGTAAAACATAACCATTTATTTCTCTCCAGATACGTCCTTTAGCATTAGTCGACAACGCATTGTACGTTGCAGCATCTCGGTTTCCGTTTTGTAAAGCATTTTGGTAAGGGTGCCAACAAAATTCCAGACGTTTACACTTCTCTGTAATGCGAAATTAGAGCGCAACCCTTGATGAGTTTTGATTGTGCGATATACCGTAGGGTAAAGAGTGCGATATATTGTACATATATTGATAGTTTGATTTTTTTTTCTTTTAGGATAGGGCAGAAAGGACGAGGAGGCTAGGGTGGGTGCCCCATAATGCAACGCGTGCAGTGTTGCATTATGGGACTCTTAGCCGACCTTTCCCATAGCGGTTAGTCCGACGCCGCTATATGCAGGATCGGGTGCTAAGAGCTGCGCTGTTAAGCTGGGTAACGTATAACAAAACCTTTCCGCTACGATATATTGCTCAAGGATTGCTCGATCTCAATATTCAATGTGCTTTCAACAGTTACCTTTTAGCGATCTTCATCCGAAGAAAACCTTTTCACGAAGCGATTTGTCCCCTCAGGTCTGAAGCATGAAGTGCCGAATCGAGGATGGCGTCGTGTACTCGCCCTTTCCCAGCTGCGAGATTCCCCGCTGCTCGTTCTACACAATGGTCAAGGAATGGTTGGCCAAGACACCCTCCAAGCGGGCCCTGGTAAGATTCTGTTGTGTTGTATCACACAGAGCCGTTTACACTGAAAGTGTTTGGCCTTGCCTAAGGAGATTTTGACAGTCTGGAAACCACAGCAGCGTAGTCTGACGACCGGGGGACAGCGGGCAAGCATTGGATCGCAGATAACGCTGCGATCCAATGGAGCTGATCGCGCAGCACCGAGAGTGTATTGCCGTGGCGCTTGTCGTTTTTTGTACGTTTCCTATCACTGGCTAAAGCAATCACTGTGCGTCATTGGTTGAGCAGGTGGTAGAAAACACGCAAAGACTGCAACCGCCATGACAATACACTTTTGTATTGAACCGTGGTTAAAAGCGCTAAAAAAGACATGCACAAGATAAAAGACAAACACGGGCGCTCGCATGGTTAAAAGCGCCCATGTGTGTTTTCTATCTTGTGTACGTCTTTGTTTAGCGCTTTTAACTATGGTTCAATACAGTCAACACCAAGGTGTAAGATAGACAGGCGGCGAAACGGCCCATAAGCTTACCGCAGCGCCGTGACCGGATTGTGTACTCGTCTGCTTGCGGGTACCCCCGACTTGCGACAGATGGCGCTGCGGCGCGAGGGAAAAAGATCGGAATCGGATTTGCGTGGAACTTTATGGGAGAGTGCGCAAAATAAACCGAGAGCACGACAGTCCTCAATTGAAAATCCACGAGAAACTATCTCCGTCAGTTTAGCCGGTCGCCATCGGTCGCCCACCCGGAGTGAGAGTTCGCGGTGCTCCACATAGATGGCGCCACAAAAAAAGAGAAAACCGAGGGGGACACAATGCGGTCGCTCATTTGGCTCTCGTTTCCCCACCTGTCTATCTTACACCCTAATCAACACCAACTAGCCCAGCAACAAGTTCTTTTATGATACACTGTTGGTGCTGCGAGATTACCTCCATCGGATCCTCTGGTCGGAGTTCAACGTGAAACCGAGTATATCTGTATATAATACGGGGTGTTGGTTTTCTTTTTTTTTTACTGTACTTTTTGGTGAAATAATGTAGTTAGTGTACTGACACTCGACCTGATTACAGTCTAGACGTGAAGCGAAATTTACTTTCAAGCTTCGTAGTTGGAGACCCATCATTACAGAATGTCATCCTTCCACACGAATTGAAACCGAATCTAACCGGCGAAGTGCCAACACCTCCTAGGTAACAAGGCCGTAGTGCTGATAGAGATGTCTTCATCAGCGAAGGCCAACGCTGGACGCACATTGGACACGACGTTTGGGTCGACGCTCGGCTCAAACTTCACTCGAAGCCGAGCGATGACGCAGCACTCGCTTCCAATCTGTGTCCAGCGTTTGCCTTCGCTGGTGACGCAAAAATGGCAGCACTACGGCCTTGTCTTCTAGGTGGTGTTAAAAGTGTGCCCGTGACGTCGATCCCGGTCCTGCACCTCCGCAACCCACGTGTCCACGGCGCCGAGCACGTCTGTAGGGTGCTGACTTCGCTGGTTCGGTTCGGTTTGAAGCCGTGCGTAAGGAGGACAGCACCCGCTTCCGTAGACTCCTCTATACTAACAAAGCCTGGGAGATCGCCACGAGACGCTGCCGCCGAAAGTGAAAAGGTAGAGCGACAGACAATAGGCATATAACGGGCGCCCCGCTGCGGCGAGACGCCGAAAAACACTTCTCCCGAGTGATGGAATGTCCTCTCGTGCTTCTCGCATTCCTCGCTTCTTTTCTCGTCGGGTTTGAAAACCATGTTTCGGGTACTCGCCGCTGCAAAAGCTGTGCGCTGACTACAGGCCCCCCGAGAAATGCTCTGTGCTACCAGATCATCGCGCTCCAAATCTGCGACCGGGCACTCTATGGCTCCGTCATCGAACTGCCAGGCTTTGTGAGTATAAAGGAGGCTATGACACTATTAATAGTTCTAGCCGAAATTTCACTGCACAACTAGGCTCTAAAGATGTCGAGTCAGGTCTCCGACTACATACATTCTGCTCCCAGAAATAAAAAAAAAGCTAAAACGTTCATGAAATCACACGGGTAATTGGTTACCCAATTAACCCATTTCATCTATGTCCTTATGGCCCCGGTAACACCAAACTTAGCCCCATGGCCAGAAAACCTTCACGCAAGCTCACTTTTTACGAAAGTTCCGATCCTTCTATAATATACCCTGTAGAAGCACTATCACTAAGTGGAAGCAATATAATGTATCAGATGGGCATCTGTGCCTTCGATGACCCTCAACTTATATCATCTTTGGTGTGTGTCTAAACCATTGAGAACTGCACGTGATCACAGAGAAATAAGTGAGCGCGACTCAAGTTGGTCAGTTTTTGATCGGCGGTTTTCGGGCGGAAAAAAAAAACAACAAATTTCCAACTGCAAATTGTGTTCTGGTGGGTAGTTGGGCTCTCATATGTCACGTACAAATAAAAACCTTGGCGAGTATAAATGCCCTGTTAGTGTCCCTTTAAGGGGTCTCCAAACCTAAAACGGAAAGCGCGAAGCGTGCCCTTTTAGCGGAGAGCGGGAACGCTTCTTTCTGTTTTTAAGTTTAGATATGATTTTTGTCGGTCGTCAGAAAGATGTCAGTCATGACAGGCCGAAGAAAATGTATCTGTCCACCTGCTCCTTCGCTTTTACCATCTCTCCACTTCCCTCGTCCTTGTGATTGGTTGTGCCAGTGGTTTCGACACGCAACCATTCCAAGGACCCACCCAGGTGCCCCCCGTCAAAATGCGGGACGAAGCGGAACGCGTCTGGAAAGCTCTCCGCTAAAAGTGCACGCTTCCCGCTTTCCGGTTTTTGGTTTGGAAATTCCTTCACTTATGATCATTAACCCTGATACAAGGGAGAAAACGGAAACAGGGAAGAAAGAGGACAACACAACGACGTTTGAGACGTCGCTGTGTTGTCCCCCTTTCTCCTTCTTTCCATTTTTTATCTTGTTTCGGTGTTTATAAGTATGAGCGTTCGCCATCTAGCCTGCGCCATTACCCTTATTTTGTGCATAGGTCACTTAACGTCAATTTCCCCGCTAAATTTAGCGAGGGAAACTGAATTGGTGTATAAATGACGTGACGTTAATTACTCCTCTAGATTTAGCGGGGAAACTAAATATTTGTATAGGTCACGTGACGTCCATTCCTATTTGCTAAGTTCAGCAGAAAATGAACCGACGGACGGACTGACCAACTTCATTATTTAATATCGTTTCTTTTGCTGTGTTCTAGACTCTTGCTTTCGAAATTGTTCACAGGTGGACGAAGCCATTACTTTGACCCGCCAAGAGCTGTTTCAGCGTCTGCAACGCTACGGCGCTGGGTTTCAGGAGCACGGCATCCTTCCTGGAGACAGGATCTGCATTCATCTCAGCAACTCCGTCGAAAACTTCGTTGCGATGTTCGGCTGTATTATGGCAGGTGCCACCGTAATTCTGGCCAAAACAACTTTGACTGCAAGTAAGTTTCGCACCTGCCGTTCTAGTATGAATATTTTTAATTAGCTCTACAAATAATCTTTTTCCTTGCAAATCACCGCAACAAAAATAATTAAATGCAAAACATTAATTTCTAATGTCCTGGTTGAAAAATCCTCAATACCCGAAAGAGGCTTCTAGACAATACTGAAATAATAGTGTTGATCTATACATCAAAGTAGCGGTACAAAATTATCGATAGTACTATTGATAACGGAAGCCGAATCTAACTATTGATAGCGTAAAAACGGCGGCTGCCTTTAAAGTTCTACAATGCATGAAACGCAGTATTTAACGTGATCGTTTTAATTTAAATAGAAGAATATTATCAGTCTTGTGTAGTGTGGCTAACGTGACATCCATATATATTTATAAAAGTATACGTCGGGCGACGTCGGGTTACGTGACGTCGATTTTCCAGCTAAATTTAGCGGGTAAACTAAATTGGTGTATAGTTCACTCGACGCCACTTTCCCCGCCAAATGCAGCGGGGAAACTGAATTTATATAAAGTTCACGTGACGTTAGTCACGAGACATAATTTGTTCCACAAAATTTACCAGGGAAAGTGAATAGACTGATCTCACTAGCAACGAAACCAACAGCTTCTGCGATGCACCGAGGAAACATTAGTATTTTTGCACGTGCGACAACCTCGCTGGAGTTCTGCGTGTGCACAGCACGAGACGGCAAGAGATGTCTTGTTTACTGCGACCTGCCTCCTGTGAACTAAAATTATGGCGGTTTCAAGCATGCACCGAACGCTTAGCGACTTCGGTCTACAGGGCTGTGCGACTGAAGTTTCGCTGTGCATACGCAGCGCCTCTCCGCCTGGCGAAGCGCGCCCATACTTGTTAGCAGTACGAGGAGCAGACAACGCGGGAGGCTGGTGCGCTTGTCGTGCTGACCTCGCGCTTCGTAAACTAATGTACGGAATGCAAAAAAGCAGGGAACCAAGTATTGTGGTGTACTCAAGCAACATATCATCGTATTAAACAGTAAGGTAGATATGTGTCTCCCGAAAAGTTTATTTGATTCCCGGGTGGTGATTCAAGAAAGATCGCCAGAAGCATGAATCGCCAGCTTTGCGAAGGACAGGGTTCATTATTAGACAGTTTTAGTGGACCGAACGCTATAGCTTTGCGTACGCAAGGAGATTGCGGGTCGTGAGTGGGCATGCGCAGAACGCAAAAGAAGGGCTAGCGCATTGCGGACGCACGCAACGCTGGGGATTTTGCGTTGCTGGCTAGCGGGCCTTGCGGGACGCTCTTGAGAGATCTTGGATCCAACGAGAGCACCAGTTTCAAGATGGCGGTTGCCTCGAGTGGCGCAACAGGGGCGACGTGGTGTTTTCGAAGTTCTGTGTTACGTGAAATTGCGTGGTGTTCAGTTCGGCGGTTCTTTCTAGGACCTACCGCGGTCGAATCAGATCGCCCTGCAGCTGCAGGAGTGCACAGTAGAAATGTTCGCCGCTCGCAGTGTGCGTCGACGCTGCGATCTGTTTAACGCTAAGCCTATTCCCACAGTTCATCGCCGACGGACGAACGACTCTAAAAGAAATCGCCGAAGTTCTCGCTATGCACTGGACATCAGGGTCATGAATTTCATTCCGCGATAGCATTGATAAAAGGTGCCGTTTCCACGGGACGACTGACGGAGGCTCCGTGATCGAATTTGGCTACGCACTCGTACTCGTAGCCTCTGCACCCCGCAGAAAAGCGCGATTGACGAGGCAGCTGTGGCTTGATTTAATCTGAAATAAAATGATAGGACACTTTTTCTTTTTCAATATTTCTTTCCAGGATCATGGTTGCGCTATAAGCACGCGGAATTCTACGGCTCTAGCAAATTTAACCAAGATCATGCGCGGTGTTCACTCGAAAACGTAACGCACAAGTAAATTCGGTCCGAGCAGGTTATTTCTAGCGTACGCTATACTATTGCGTATTGCCCACGTAAGACCCAGCAACGCTATACTAAACCTGTCTAATGTTTTTCTATCTTGGCGCATGATTCAGTAATGCAGCTATGCTTACTAGTCACGTTAATACAGACCTTTTTTAGATATCGCGCAAGAGCAGGTAAGAGTTTTGCGTTGATTGGGGGAGCCGTCACTTTGAGGAGCGGACATTCATAAGTCCCTAATGTAGTAGCTACGATGATTCCCCGTGGCTATCGACGAAAGAAACCCGAATATAAAGTTACCGTTTTTGAAACAACTTTAAATTTGAGAACCAAGCTCACTTTGCTTACCCACCAATTTTGTTCCCCGATGCTTACAAGAGAAGGCGAGTAAGCGGCAAAAGACTTCGAGGCAGGATAAAAATCGGAGCAACTATGGCGTACTAACTTGAATGTATATTTGAAAAGAAATTGACGGCTAGGAGTAGTTTTTTATATATATTATTAAAACAATGTAGTTAGCCCACAACAGTATAAATACTTTCCAAGGAACTCTAAAAATTAGACACTAGAACATTCCTGGATCGACGAATTAGAGCTTGATGACAGTGTTGCATGTGTAAAATGGAAGTAACATAATGGGGATCAAGAGAGGACAACAGACAAAGGTGAATAACTGCAAATGTATGACTTAAGTTCATAATAAATTACATTTTCCGCAGAAAAAAAAAGGTAATATTGACGATCTTTTTCTGGCGCAGGGTGTTCTAGATATATAAAGTATAACTGCGCCTAAATAGCAAACAAAACAAGAAATCACCAACAAAGCTTGCTTGTAGTCACCCGCAACTCTTTTCAGAGTTATCATTCTTGCGTAACATAATAAAGGCAAAAAAGAAGACAACAATACTGGCGGAAATGTGAGTCGATTGGCGACCACTCTTTTTACTCATAAAAGTATGAGAGAGTTACTGAAGTACGTGCGCGAATTACGATTTTACCGCTTGAACGGCAGCGGTACACGGGCGCAAACTCAACAAGCTTTCACGGTGGGTAGTAAAAGTTGTAGGAATTCGCCATTAAGCCCTGGTCCTCATTGAGTTGAATACCCACTCCGTAGTCCGCTCTTTGCGCGGCTACGGCCGGGTCCGTCCATTGACTTCCTTTCTGGGGCACCGGTGAACGAGGGACACCACAAACACAGTGAGTCCGTTTTTGACGTGTTTATTGACTCAAATGCCAACACGCTTTGCTCTTAGACATGAAGAGTCTGGGCGCTGGCTCAATTGCCAGTATCACCCGATCGGTTTCCAGCGCTGCCGCAATAGACATATTCACGGGAAGTCGGAGGCCCACAGAGAAAAACCGAGCTCCGTAGAGCCAGGGCCTCCGCCGACGAGAACCCCCGGCCCTCCTTCGGGGCCGGCTTACGTAGCCTCGGACATATGGACGCGCCCGGGGAGGCCGCTAGCAGTCGCGTCCGCTATCACTTGCAAGGGTGTGCCAGTCGGTTGGGTCTGGCTCATTTGTTTCTTAAACAAGTTGATTTATGTTTTTGCGGGTTCGGAGAAAGGGCTTTTTATAGTGTGTAGTGCAGGTCAGATTGCGTGATGCATTACCTCAAATAGTTGTTTCGACAAGTGATAATAAATTTCCTGCACGAAGTTGTTGAGGCTTTCAATTTTCTACAGGTTCGTTCTTCTTTAGAATACCTGAGTGAGGTCACCCGAAAGCTCTTCTATAAGGATTTGCTTGAATTCGTGTTACCAGTGCCTTTATATCGCGCTTTATACTCTGAGGGCCGCGAAAAAGATGTGCTCAAATGAGTTAAAAGAATGCCGGTGTGGCCATCCGTTAAAACGTCCTTTTTGCAACTCAATAGCAGCACCCTCCCCTTTAAACCCTGGCTAGAAGAAAAGGGATTATTCGTTCCCTTGTCAACTAACTGTCTTCTCTACCGTCAACCTGAAACGATAAAACACATCTTTCTGGACTTCTGGGATGCAATATTTTATTGGGACATTCTACAGTGAACACTAAAAAAAGGCATTATCACCCCTCGCCATTTGGTTTCTTGCTGTAGACAACGATTGGGGTGTGCCCTATGACATGTTCATGGCACTGTCTGTACACAGCACGTGGCGGTCAAGGATGGCTGTGAGGCACGCTGGTGTTGAGGCTCGTCCCGTCAGGAACTATTTTATTGAGAGTGTGGCATATGGGGTGCGAGAAGTGTATAGAGGACGAAGTGTTCCCCCTGAATGATTTCGTGTGTTTCATAAACTGCTCGACCTTAAAGGACCCATGAAACGAATTTTGGGCTGGAGTAAATAAATTTATATTGGGATTTTACTAATAGCACATCGTTCAGTGGGCCAAAGGAACAAAGGTAAAAAGTCAGAAGCCTGACTTTCGCTACGAAAATTCGCAAAACATAGCGGACTATTTCGTACCTCCTTCCCTTCGTAAACTCTCCGCCTTTTCACTGTGATACATCCGCGGACCCCGCAGCGCGTCACCGGGCTACTAGCCACCATAACCGGGCCCCCGCAGCGCGTCACCAGGACCCAAGCGCACGTCACGCGACACCGGACCTCACTTAATCCCTTTACCCCTAAACTGACTTTGCGGTGGAAGCTACGCGCTTGCCAGACCAATCAGCCGCCTCCCTTTCATCACCTGACCCATAGCCTCCTCTATACGGAGAAAGCCTGGCACATCGACGACGGAGCCATAGAGCGCGCGGCCGCAGGAAAAAGGAGAGGAGGAGCACGCCGAACGGTGACCAATATGGTAGCGCAGAGCAGAAAGGGCAGACCTAGACAGCGAGCGCTTGGGTCATGAGCGGCCGCTCCCCGAACCACGCTTGTTCTTGTGTTTTCGTCACCGTCGTTTTTGTACTCCGGGAGAAACGGGCGCGGCGATTCGAAAGGGCGCAGGGAGAAACGGGAAAGCGTGGACGTTGAGTTTCTCCTCTCCGCGATGGCGACAAGAAAAGAGAGAAAAAAAAAAAGATTGTTTCTGCGTTTGGCCGCTCGCTCTTTTGTGGCGCTAGCGGGCAAGGTTCTCTCCGCTCCCGTTTCTCCGCCCCTCCTTTCCCATTTACGGCGGCCGTCTTTTCACGCGACGCGCCAGGCTTTCTATAGAGGAGGCTATGCCTGACCTCATTCTCTGCGGGTCGGTATGTGCGGGAGAGCGTGATCACGTGGAAAATGTGCGGCTGGCCCAACGAGCACGTAGCTTCCACAGCACTCTCAGCTTCGGGGTGAACGAGGTGGGGAAAGCAACTAGTCGGAATTTTGAGCGACGGGCTAATCTTCTAGGGGGACAATGGTTGTGTCAGGCTCTTCAACACAAGCGAGATTCCGAGCAAGAGGGGGCTCTCCCCTTTTCGACTTCTTGAACTGTTTGGTACAATGCGCGATTAATGAGTTGAGGAGGAAAGCTAAACAGAAAAAAGTTGAAAAAGCGTTTCATGACTCCTTTAAGGGGATACTACAACGAAATTTCGGCGTTCATTTTTCCCTCTATATGTGTTCAAAGGAGCCGTATCACATCGAACACACCAATATCTTGTTAAAAAAGTCACGAAAAGGAATTTTAAAACGAATTCAACGATTAGCAAAGAGTACCTGGTGGATGTCGCTAACGCCTCGTTTTTAATGCCCGTCTATATAGGAACCTTGACAGCTAGTAACTGTGAGTGTCTCGCCTCCGGCCACGACGAGAGAAGAGGGGAAGGAGGAACTCCCGTCTTCCCGAGAATCCCTCTTGTGTGTCCCAGGAGTAGCTATTGTCCCCCTACAAGATTACAGAAGATTAACCCGCCACTCGAAATTCGTACAAAAGAGGGAGGAAGTGGCCGAGTGGGCTAACGCGTCTCAGCTCGGAGCGTGGAGCGAAAGCTTGCGCTGGGAACCTCCTGGGTTCGATCCCCGCCGCCTCCGCCCGTTTCGATCTGGATGAGTTTCGTACCGGCACGCGTTCGTGTGATCACTACTGCGTGATGCACGTTAAAAATCCCAGGTTAGCGGTTGTACCGCACTGGCTAAATTTCTCATCTACAGCTAAGAGACCGATTACCCGTTGAGGCGCATCTCCATCAAGGCTGTATCAAAGAGCAAGCCAATTTTTTTTCGTACAAAAGCAGCCGCTTTGGTGGCTGGAAGGACTAGGGGTCACTAGGCCATCCCCTCGACGTCAGCCTCGCGGTAGCTTTGCTCGTCCCGAGACGACCTACGTCACGATTGCGTCGGATGTGACGTGCTCTAAGCTGGGCCTTCTCCGAGCGCTTGCTAGAGTGTGCCGTTTATAACAAAAAAATACAGCCACCAGGCTCAAAATACAAACGTGCGATTGTCATTTACGGATATTGTGAATCATATTCAACCTATTCTTGAACACGAAGGATATATTTCAAATTTCGTTGAAGCATTTTACCCGTGTCCGGCCAGCCGGGGTGTCATTGGCGGTTTCAGTGCCTCATGCCTGATTTATTTGTTCCTTGTGCAAACAGGAAAGAAAAAAAAAGGGGGGGGGGGGGGGGAGGCGAGACCTGGGATCATGCAAAGACACTCGTTTATAAATCCAAACGACTTAGGTTCGATTACTACCGAGTTACAAATGATTTTTTTTCAACTTAAAGCTTGTTATTTGGCAGCACTCGGGGGTCATAATTTAGGAACTGGCCCCACGCTGACGTCACGTAGGTCCGCCTAAAAACCGTACCGCCTTTCTAGATCAAAGGTTCACCCTAAATTGTGGGCCAACACCGACCAACCGGGTGGTGTAACAGCACCACACTGCCCGACCGGGTGACGTCACAAAGGCAGCAGAAATTTGGACACGGTACCCCACCCGAAATTCGGGCAGGCCCGAACAATTTGGGACACGGGCCACCGCCAAAGTATTCTGACTATGACGTGTGTCAGACACTTAAGAGCTATTAAGCAGCGAGGTCACGGGGTCCGTGGATTGACGTCACAAATGCAGCAGAAATTTGGACCCGGGACCCTGGGCAGGACCCGATATTGGGGACATAGGCCACCGCCAGAGGATCCTGCCGACATCAAACACCTATGCAACACGAAGCAGCAAGTCACGGCTTGACTACACAAATACTCATTAGATCGTTTTCGGCCGATTTGTTCTATTTGGTATACTTTATATGCTAGTTATCTCTAACTACATATATTGAGGACGCAGCGTTATTTTTGGTTTTCTTTCGATTTCATGTTTTTTTCCCAGAGCCCCGCGATGTCTTGCCGTACATATCCGTCGTGATTCACCGTTTTGGCTGTAGTTTCATTTTCGTAACACTATAGGTTTCTGAAAGTTCACTTTCGACATAGACAGCCGAGAGCCAACTATTGATAGTATTATCGATAGTACTATCATGGCACTTTCGAGGCACTTTCGACGGCACTATTGATAGCCGACTATCAATAGAACTATCGATTGTCAACTGTTAATAGTTTTTGACATTATTGATAGTTTCTTTTTAACTATGGATAGTATCGATAGTAAATTTTTTGATAATTTTGCAGCACTCCCTAATTGACCTTTTTGAAAAAGGGAGATATGATAAAGCGATGCAAAGAGGTGAGTCGAGGGTTTCTTTGCAGGAGAGCTGCACTATCAGATGCAAGACGGAGATGCTACCCATGTTTTGACGGATACGGGGTACGTTGAGAAGGTTCTCGCTGCGAGTTCTACGCTACAGCTCAAGGTGAGCTGATCGTTTTTTTTAGTGATCTCAAATTCAGAATTTATTTTGCTGTATGCTCTGCTATAAAATAGGAGTAAAGCTATACGCACGACGTCGTGCACTTCAACTGGAAATGCTATACGCACGACGCGAGGCTCGTATAAAACGAATGGTTAAAACCAGACTTGTACACGTTACTGAAAAATTGTAAGGAATTACAGTTACAATTGCTCAAGGCTAAATTGTAATTTTTTTACAATTACAATTACCCTCTCCTAAAAATAAGTGACAGTTACCCCGAAAAGTAATCCGTTACTTTCGTGGCGTTACTTTCAACTATATTTTCCTCAATTAAGAAACAAAGGGAAGAAGGTTGTTCAAGTTCTTATTGTTGTCACCTGTTCCATTCATTGACCTTCACTATTTTGAGTAGCAGCTGATTCTCAAAAGTCTCGTCAGACATATTGCGTTATTTTTTACTGAAGATGACTGCTACGCTGAACACCCTTTGAACTTAGGCACTGGATGTGAGTGCCATATTGTGCCTCACGAATATTTAATGCTCTGCATTGAGCTTTTTCAGCGAAGCAATGGAAGTACTATTTAGCTTGAACATAGAGCAAAGCTTCATTGTAGCTTTGCTACAATGAAGCTTGGCTGATATTCTTGTTTTAGTAGAGTTGGTAACATTAAGGTGATAATAAAATAATAAATAAGGCTTGGCTCGATATTCTTTCTTCTTCGGTTCTGAACAGGTCGAGACTCGGTTGAGACGTTGGTGAATAAGTTTCCAATATATAAATATAAGTTATCGAGAAAAAAAAAAACACCAGGACACTCATAACAACAATTAATTAGAACGTTGGTTAAAGCAAGGAAATGCAAACGCACGTTTGCTGTGTGTACCTTTCTTGCTGCCGTTCAAAAACGCACAGACCACGGACCGACTGCAGTTTACTCCTGTGTTCTCCAGATAGACGTCCGCTGATGCCACGGGCAGTGAAGGGTAGAGTACTAAGTAAGCCACACCATGGCCCCACTCTTGAGTTTCACTCTCTCCTCAAGCCCAGATTATCAAGTCTACGTCAGCCACCTTTATGTTTTATTTTAAAAATATCTGCTTGAGAAAAGATGCTTCCTGCTGGGGTAAAAACAGGAAGAAGAAAAAGTGAAGACTATTACTATTTTCGAAGTGCTCGGAAAAAGCTGACTCAGAAAAAGGGTAACTGAGATGCCGATAACCTGGCTGGAATTCACAAATAAAGTGGGCCAACCCTAGAAGTTGGACTACAAAAAAGTAAGTAGTTTTTAAAACAGGGTCAAATAAGGTGAAAACAGCAGAAAAAATACATCCTGTTTTCGAAGAAAAGATGATAAGTGTGCAGCAACGAACGAGGATGCTTGAGGCGATAACACCTTCACATATTATCACGTCTCTTTTAGTGGATTTTAGGGCAGACGGAGCGTTGTTTCGTGTTGTGACATTATGAAAATGGTCGTAGTCACTATAACGGAGAAGGACGTTGTTAATTCTTGTCTGTGCACTTACCGCCTCGAGCTTCTCGAAGAGGCACACAATCACTTGGTTAATCGTAGTCTGCTGCTTCGATATCAAGTTGCACAATAAGATATACTCGAAAATTTTGGCCTGTTCCTCCGTCCAACTGCACGTCCGTTGCTTACGCACGTCACGTGGTTCACACATATAATTACTATGTCGAGCACGTGTGGGTTGTGCGATAAGCAGTGCTGGTTTGCATTTTGAGCAGCTGAAAGCCATTCAGAATATATGAAGGACGCTATCTTCAGAAACATAGGGTACTTGCTTTTTGATTCTCATTAAGGCTCACAGAGTTTCAAGTTTTCGCATCTGTTACACTATTATCCCATCTACCTAGGTCCCTAACCACTCATGTTCATCTGTGCTGCCAAGCACGATTGAAATTGCTTCCGCGCTTGTCTAAGACACAAGCTGAAGTGCAATAAAAACTGATCTGAGCTGCTCCTAGCCTGCTCCAGAACGTAGTTTTAACTGCTCCCAACCTGCTCCAAAACAGCTGTTTCAGCTGCTCCCGTGGCTGCTCCCAAGTACATTTCATGAGTTCCACCCCTATTTTTCTAAATTTCCCAAGCACCGAGTTACATGCTACTAGTGCAGTTACTCACGTTGCACGTGCTGGCGTCTGCAGTAGTAATTTTTCTAAAGCAAAAAGTCTAAAACAAAGTTTGCCTCGCACGCACGTTCGTCAAAGCCTTATTATGATTATTTACTTCGAATCTTTTCTGAGAGGAAGGCCATCGCGAGCGGACCGTAGAATTACACTTCTAGCGTTTTCCTCGACGCTTGGGTAATTTAGAAAAAGGTCTATAAACCTATTGCTTATTACCCAAGCATCAAGGATAATGCAGAATTGGTGTTCCACGCGCCACCTACGCACGCCTTCCCCGTATAAAAGATTCGAAGTAAATAACCATAATAAAGCGTCGAGGAACGCGCTTGCAAGGTGTCATTTGTTTTAGGTATTTTCTTCAGAAAAGTTACTACTGCCGACGCCAGCACGTGCAGCGGGTGGAACACCAATCCCTACATTCTTCTTGATGCTTGGGTAAAATAGCAAAACATTTATTGGGACGCTGTCTGCTTTTGTATGCTATCAATACCCGACCGATTTAGTCAAGGCAATCCGCTTTCCAAAGACGTTGCTATGCCGACAATTATCGCGTTCATTTAGGCTTAGGAATGGCCAGAATCGAAAGACTATCTAAGAAATGCGGCGAGGTCATTGCTCGTGCTTGGCGATTTAAGTGAGTTAAAGCAAGGCGAAAGCCTCCTGCACCATTCGTTGCTGACTAACGCGCCCGGTATTGCAGCTACAACGGCATACGAGCAATATAAGTTCCGAAGCGAGCGGCGCTCACTCACCGGGGCACCGCCATGTTTCCCCGCATCCCTACCGAGCCAGTCACGTGATTTCAAAATGCCTCTCCTAGGTATTGCGGCTAGCTTTAGCCGCGGTTAGCGCTTCGAGCAAACGGGCCCTGATTACCGGCGCACATCAACGTGTCGGCTAAACACTTGAAAAGAAATGTTAGCATACCGAATCCCAAAGCGTCTAAATGTATTGCATTCTGAAGGTGTGTTTATAGATAGGTTAACTCTGGGTGAATCGCGCTGTCATGCATGATTTTGTATATATGAATTCATGTGATAAAATTTTTTTTTTCTCAGTTTAAGCTTATGTTTTGTGTTGATTTACAAATGTCGACTAATATAGTGCTGAGTGACTTTTTCTGTTTTTTTGTTTATTTTTTTGGTATCCACTGCGATTATGCACGATTTTGTTTGGATATTGATTTTTCCGAACATTCTGGAGTATGTACTGGGGCTGAGATCTTGTCAAGCCGCGCAGCGCGGCTTTTTTTCTCGGCTCCACCATTACGTGTGATGGAAATAAACTATTATTATTATTATTATTATTATTATTATTATTATTATCGTCCATATTTTTGACTTAAAACTCTACCGATAAGGTGGCACATCGCTTTAGTTCGCCAGCCACGGCACACCGACTGCAATCAGCTCCGGAGCGCTGTGACGCAAAATAGTGACGCAAGTTTTGTCATTAGCACGTAACCCTCCGGCTTCAAACGAGGGTTGTCCTTCCGGCGGGCATCGCGCGTCTGGTTTCGGTATCGGCAGATATCCAGAACACAATTTGACAATGAATGACTCGAGCCGCGTGCTTGATTCAGAACTTTTAAACCAAGGCTGGCACTCAACGCTGATTGCCTCAATTTCTTCAAAGTAAGCATGTATCCCAAAACGTGTCATTAAAAAAGTAATTATAGTAAGTTACAGCTAAAGAAGGAGGGGCGAGGGAAGTGAAGGCTGGGGAAGAAGAAGCAGACGGACCGCTGGAGATGAGAGGGAGAAACCTCCTCCTCTCTCCTGTGTTCCACCTGCTTCCTCTTCGCTGGCCTTCCTTTCCCTCGCTCTACCATCTTGAGTTGCAACGGACTACTGGCTGGCAGATCGAACTATAGGGGGCGCTGTGACCCGTTGTTGCCCCACACCTTGGTGTTTACCCAACACAAGGCCTGTGGACATGCCCGCAGGCCTTGTGGGCATGTTGACGACTTAACGCAAAAATGCTAACAATAAACGAAGTGGCGATTATTTTTAGTGCCGGATCTCTGCCGAACAATGTCGTCAGGGCATGCGAGCTTGACCCACTCCAGCTTTTGTGCTGAGCTGGGCATATGCACCCTGCACGCTGCATTTTTAATGGAGGCCGGATTTGTAACAAAGAAGCCTCCTCTTCCCCTCAGTCGACCGGAGAACACGAACTCCAGCCGAACGCTGACGCGGTGTGGGGTTAAGTCCGCCGAGCACTGAGTCATTGTTATTTGTTGTACCCATTCATGTAGTTCTAAATTTAACCTCTTGGGGAGCCACACTCTGATCTTCTCCCCATTTATTACTTTGGTCCTTTCTTGAACATTATGTCCGCCTAGCCGTATAAGTCACTTTCGCAGACCGCATTTTCGTAACTTTCAGGGCTTTTTTTTTTTTTTTTTTTTAAATGTGTATACGTGTAAGAAAACGCCTCGTATCAACCCCGAAAAACATTTCCGAATTTCCATTTATAAAAAGAAAAACAAAAAACAAAACAAAAAAAAGAAACACGGAACCCTGCCTCTGAAGTTGAAGTCTTTGATTTCGAACAAACAGCAAAAGTTGTAATGTGGAAACTTTACAAATTATGTATTCAGTTCTATTTCTATCCTATTAGTAGGGGCGTCGTAATAGCGACTAAAATTTCGACGTAGACCCGCCCGTTGCGGTTTACCGGCGGTAGGAAAGCGCTAGAGCGGAGAGAAAAAAAAATTCCGAGGATACCTAAGCACTTCTTATGAGTTCTGGATGCGGAAGCACTCTCGGCGCCGATAGGAGCAGGAGCGGCCGCAGCGCCGGCAAGGAGTGCGGCAGTGCGTCGCGCAGACCGCCCTGCGGCTCGCTGGTGACTGTTGCGCCGGTGGGTGAGGCAGCGGCGGGAGTGCGAAGCTCGGCGCGGCGCGTGCTGAAATTACGTGTCCTCTTATCATCATCATCGCCCTGTGCGGGTACCGGTTGACGACGTTAGACATCAAAGCGTAACGTTAGGACTAACGTCAAGCCAGCGCATACCCGCGTCCCCTTTTCCCGCTGCGCCGCCCTAAGTTTGGCTGGCTCTTTAGCAACGATCACTCCGTTGCTATGGGGCCACATGACGCGTCGCAAGCAATAAAAATTAAGTCTTTTTATTTATTTCATTTTAGAAGATTCTAGCTTAGTGTATCAAGTTGGCATTAGTTCACTTTTGGTACAAGGTTGTTTCAGAACTTGAACGTTAGTCTCCTCGACGGAGGACGCTGTGAATTGAAACGATGATAGTAATCAACGATCGACTTCAAAACGTTATCTACATATTTTTAGGGCATTTTCGTCATGGGCGATGCGCCGGGATTTGTGTCAGCTTTGAAGTTTAAAGACTGCAGTGAAAAGAACTTCAAAGAGGTGGAGATTCCAGACCCTGAAAACAGTGTGCTGGCAATAACCTACACCTCGGGCACTACGGGTCTTCCGAAGGGTGTAGAAATCACCCACTACAGCTACGTTGGAAACGTCTACACGTCAGGGTGAGTGAAATACTTTTGAGGCAACTCGTGATTAGCCCTTCCCTTCAGAAAAGCACCACCCATGCGCAAGGCTAGTTCACACGTTTCCGTTTTGCTGTGAACGAGTAAATTGTGATCCCGTGTAACCGCCTATGCAACACGCTGGCAGGCTGGTGTAATCTATTGGATAGACCTGGAACACTTCCGAACTGCACTCTAAAAAAAAAGAATGTAATGGGGTACACCCATGAAGGGTCTAAGTGCCAGTGTGCTTGTCACATATACTACACCCTTTGGGGGAATATTTGTACACCCGAAAGATTGGAGTATGCGTACTCCCGTTGGTGTGGTGCACATGTACATCTTTTTCTACACAAATCTCACTCGAAGGAAACACGGGTGCACTCCATTCATTGGTGTACGGCTACACCTCTTTCTGCACCCAATGAAACGAAATGGAACTCAGATGCATCCCACTCATTAGTGTACCATTACTCCCTTTTCTACACCTACTGCCCTCAAAGAGAACACTGGAGCACCCCGTTCACTGGTGTACTGTTACACCTCTTTCTACACCCACTGAATTCGACGGGAACGTAGATGCACCCGATTCAAAGGTGCACCGGTTTATGCAGTTAGTTTATGAACTAACATCATAAACCTATTGAAGACATCGAGGAAACCCTTAAAAAATGTATGCGCCCCGGTGATTGCAATAAGGCAGGTAAACAGAGATGGGATTGTTTTAAATCCCCTAGAAGTTTATTGGACAGCCTATTCCGTAAAGAAGTACAAACGTGCAAGCAATTCGTGATATGTGAAGAGGTACAAAGAAGCTGTTGCACTATTGAGAAGATCACTAAGCAAACAACAACGGGGGTGAGTCTTAGGTATCTATTTCCCCATTAGCGGGCAGAATTATTTCTCTGAAATTCCACCGGCAGTCGCCACTCAATGGCGGTACAATCACTTCATCGAACGGCGTTTCATCGACACGCGATGTTTCATAGACAGCTAAAATTAGCTTTCCTATGTTAGCTTCTTTTTTTTTCTTGTAATGAGCCTTTTCAGACCGTATCCGTGAAGTGACGTGTATGGGTGGGACAGGTAGGATAACATTTTTGTATTCAGCCGCCGCAGACTGTTGCCACGAAGCGGCGTGAACGTGTGGGCTGCAGGTTGGTGAGCACGGGAGATACGCGCGCGACGAAATGTCCCTACAGCGTGCATTTCGCGTAACGAGTGACGATGAAACGTTAGTGTCGACGAAACGTGCCTTCAAAACACGTATCAACGAAAAGGTGTCCATGAAACGTGCGTTCACAAAACGCCGGGAAATTAAGAAAGTCAGTATTTTACCTGCAGTTGTCACATGATTGTAGACAGCTAATGACAGGCGACTGCCGGTAGAATTTTGGGGAAATTATTCTCCCGGCTGTTAGGATATTGACACCGCCTAATTCTAGAGGTAATCTGGAACGGAACGGTCAATTGTTGCAAAGGAGTAGGTGCAGCGCACTTACGATGAAAATACCGGACTTGAAATATGTATTCCGAGATATATGCCGACACGGGCACTGCAGAACTACCACACAAACAAAACCCAAAAGAAACGGGCCTGTGAAGATTCAACACAATGTGGCAGAAACAGTAATTTGCCGAACCGAACACTAAACGCATCACATGAATTCCTTGGGCTTTTTTAAAGAAATCGCTTGTTGCCGATATACGCGGAGGACGTTTTAAACACTCGAAGCCTTGGTAAAGTTGAACACGTTGTCGCGGGCGAAATCTCCGGCAGCCCCGCTGGTCCCAGCACAGCACACAAGAAACTAGGTCGGGAAGCAGACATTCCGGGATCGGAAAGATCTACTACGTCATCCGTGAAACCTTTACCACTTGATCACGCTCCTGCCGGTACCCGCGCCTCAACAACGGAGTCAAGGAATAAAAAGAGCCTGCGGTTCATTGGTCCGGAGACTGCGCACCTTCTTCTACGCTTTCAGCTTAGGGAGAGACAGAAAAAGGAAGGAGTAGGAAAATAGCAGCTCCTTCAAGGCCAAAAGGGGGGGTGCCCTCGTAAGGTATTTTCTTCAGGGGCATCCCAACAATGAACACAACGAGAAGATTTGTCACTTATATCCTCTTGAAAGTTGAACCCAAAGTTAATAGTGCAGTGGATGCTATCCGTGGCCTTGGCCTTCAGGCAGGTTCCGTGCTATGCCTTATCTCTAGCTTGGAGACTGCAGTCACGTGATCCTGCCCGGAGTTCGGATTGGCCTAAAACAAGCATAGCGTCTACTCTACTGTCCATACCGTGTGATAGGACAGCTACATACTTCCAAAGAAACTGCTCAACCCAAAAGTGGCCCCCAGGGGCAATCCAAGCACAAGCTCATCGGGGCGCGCGGCTAGCGTGGCGGTGCACTGCTACACCTAAAGCAGGATGCTCATTGTTGGTGTACAAGTACACTGGCTGGGTAATGGAGGGTGCATCTTTCAGAAAAAGGGTGCATGGGCGCCTGATCCACCCGACTACACGCTTTTGTTCTTAGACTGTGCGTTAAGTCCAGACGCAGCCAACGCTACCAGTCGATGGGACCAATCAGAACCTCAAAAGGGCACCATCATGGTGCTTGTCGTGCTTCTGTGCGTGCTCTATCGTCGTTGAACCAACCATAAACATAAAATGCCCAGTGAGTTGCAATTTTGACGCTGCTTGATTGGCCCCTCTACCTCTTAGCGTCGGCTGCGTCGGGACTTAAAGACAGTTTGTGTCGGTCCCCTTTTTCGTCCGTCGTCTCCGGTTTTTAATAAAATGTGAAACATAAACCAGCTCGCCTGTCTACTCGCTCCATCTTCAATAGACTGAATGTTTGCAGTAGTGCCTAAAGTTCCTTGATACTTCTTTTGCGACTGACGATAACCAATACAAATGACAAAGCACATCTCGCTGGTACAAAATGGCGGCACTAAGTTCGAACCTCTGCTGTGCGCCGCCCTTCGCTTCCCAAAACCTGCACTGCCACGCAGTCGGCGCTTCAAAGAATGTCGCTACTTGTAAGAAGCTCTTATCTGGGGACTTAAGTATTGGCGATATGAAAGCTGCGCACTCCCTATGAAAATAGTCGCATATAACATTTTCGCAAATATTTATACAGTGTTAATTATGCCTTATAAAACTGAAATAAGCTATAAATGTTATAAAATTCAAAAAGTCGTGAAAGCTGCGTTAATCTCATCTGTGCTGGTGATCTATACGGCCATGGGGGCGTAATTTAGGGGGCTAATCATTGCGGTATGTCGAATAGTAACTAAAATTTGAATATTAGCTTTCTCATTAGCGAAAATAAACATGATTTCAATTAGAAACTTTCTGAACGTCATCAAAAACCACCAAATCAGTATATTTTAAGAAAGACTTGGAGCGCGTGGGAACCACTGTAGTGTACCACTGTAGCAGCGCGCTAAAGTTACCACTCGAGCAACAGGCGCAAAATTTGCGGTGTGAAACCTCGAATGAAAAATGATGAGAAAACCGTGCGGGCGCCTTTTCGAACCCACAGTCTTGCGCCTGTTTGACGGGTGCTAACTTTAGCGCACCACTGCTGTTCCCACGAGCTCCCATTCTTCCTAAAACTGGGTTTTGTAGAAATGGGTGAAGCTCGGCAAGTTTCTTATTCAAAACATATTTTTATTTTCACTAATTCAAAACGTAATAATAAGTTTCTTTTTTCTTTTGAATAATAAGTCTTTTTTTTTCTTTTTTTTTAATCAGGCTGCAAGTTTGAAAACACGTGACGGCTTGAAGCTGAGCTGGTTGGTTCATGCTTGTTAAAGTTAGAGCTGAACGTTTTCACACCGCTGGACTACCAACAACAACTACCAACTACCAACAATTGTCTATTAGAGAATTGCAAGCATGGTGCCACAACTGGTGCCCCATGCGTGCAAGCGCGTGCAACGCGCGGGTGAACGTAGCTTTGGCAAGCACGTAGTCGCACGGGCGTGCCTGCTCGAGCAGAGACATGGCGGCGGCCAGTCGCCCAGCTTGCAATCGTCTATATATTGCGCTAAACGGATTCTTCCTCTTCTATATCTGAACCTTCGCCTTCCACTCTTCCTCTTCATTCATGTGCCTGTTAAGTGTGCGACTCTTCGCAGCTATGCCAGTTCCTTGTGGTGCAGCGCGATTGACGGTGCACTCACGCAATGATCTCCCTTCGCGTCAATAGCAAAGGCCTCGAGAATTTCTCGACCAACCCCGGTGCGATTTTTCCCAGTATGTCAATGTTGTCAAGGTTTGGCGCACATGTGCACATCCGACAAGGGGCCGCGAGGTGCCCTGCTGCTGTGATGGCCTTCACCGACGCTGCGTGGTCTCTCGATCTGTCATTAATGCACCTTTCCGTTTGACCAATGTAGCATTTGCCACATGACAAAGGAATCTGGTACACGACTTGTTTTGTTCATTCGGTGTATCTGGTCTTGTGAGATGTGCTGCAACCTGTCTCTTCGTTGTTGTCCTATCTGTTCACCTTCCGGCACACGGAGTATGCCTTATTGGGCGCAGAGCATATCACCTGTACGCCCTGTTTGCCAGCAATCTTCTTAAGTCGATGGGTGAACCCGTGGGCCGTGGATATAAGGAGTGACCACATAAGGTGTTCGAGGCTTCTTTGTTGTTATTGTTCCATCTCCCTCAGGTTGGCGCTTGATATTTGCACATATGTTTTCACAAGTCGAAACAAGGAGTGTCCTAGGGTAGCCAGCATCCTGGAGCCTGGAGATCTGCGTCGCGAAACTCCGCCGCACCTGATGCTCACATGACCTCTTAAGGGCGGAATTGAGCGCTGTGGTCGCAACTGCTCTTTTCACATTTTTTGTATGTTCGGAGCTAAAAGGAAGAAACCCTTTGCAGGATCTCCCCTGATATCTCCAGCACACATGTCTATTCCTAAACTCTAAGGAGAGATCCAGGACTTTTATGCAGTTGTTAACGACGAGTTCATGGGTGAAGGTAAGATCGGTGCGGCTTTGATAGAAACGCCTCATGACTGCTTCTTTACATCCGTTGGTTGCTTCATGAACCTCAGCGTTGCACAAGATTAGAAAATCATCCGCATACCTAAATATGGCCTCTACTCGGGGATCTTTTAAGTTGTGTTGGATAGCAGGGCCGCATGCTGCGAGGTAGATATCACAGAGGTAGGGAGCTACCCGGGATCCTATGCAGATAACGCTTCGTTATGCGTACTGCCTATTTTGATGTACTACTGCCGTCGCCTTTAGGTAGATGCTTAGAAGCTCTAAGAAGCTATTCAAGTTGAAGCCGGCCGCCTTTTTAAATAATTTTTGTCTTCGTCTCTGTGAGTGTGTCCTTAAAACGTTCAGCTGGAACTTTAACAAATTTAAAAACACCTTGTACACGCCGTTCACGAATGAACGGTGCTGAAATGTTTTAATAGACCTCGTGCAGTTTTACCCAAGTGCCTTAGCGTGCGCCCGAGAAATCCTGGGTATGACGTTCTATCTCCTGGGTGCTCTCTCTTCGGATCGCCTTACATCGCCGTTGACGTCTTCTTAATCTTCCGTTTCTTTTAGCTTTAATTATCACTTTTTACTTATTTCAGTGTATTCGTATTTTTGTAAGTAGTTATTTTTGTTATGCGTGCTGTATATTTGTATATTTAGAACTTCTAGGTATATTTCGTCATTCCTGAGGTTGGCGTCGACGGACATCACGCCGCTGCTTACGCTGCTGCCGACGTGAGTACTCACGACGCTCTATCGCGCTGTAATCTTGTCTATTTGACCCGCGTGCACTCTTGAGAGAGCCGTTTTGAATGTCAGTGCTCATGTCATCATTGTATGCAGTTAAGGAAGTTGCAATCACGACGCGGGAACCGACTGCGCACGGATCTGGCCGAACACGCTCGCTCTGCTGAATTGTGAGCGTGGAACTCTCGAGCACTTTAACTTGCTGAAGATGCAATACACTGCTTTGTCGTCGCTCATCCTTTGCCCTTCGAAAGCCTGCGAAGCTGTTCCAGCGCTCGGCAAGCCTTTCGGAGTGCCTTGCAACAACCGCCCGCGCAGCATCGCAACCTTCTGTCTGCGAGAGCCGGCGGTTCATCGTCGGGGGGTTCATTCCTTAATAATAATGACTTTATTTACCATACAAGTATGGTGGGAGCTGAGGGAAAAAGCTGCGCAAGCAGCTTGACTGGTCCTCAGCCCCCCCCACAGGTACACAGCATTGGGGAAGTCATACACAAGAATTTATATAATACAAAATGCTTAACAAAAAAATAACGAAACAAAAACAAAAGCAAAAATCTGCTAGCTAATCAACAGCAGTAAGGATTGTTTAATTAGAAAGAAAATAATCCTTAAGCGCACACATATTGGAAGATTCGACATCAAAATTAGAGCCCATAAGAGTGTTCAGTAATGTTGGCAAGGTTATTTTAATCATTTGGAGTCCATGATCTGTTCGTGACGTTTCTACTGCCTAAACATCCGAGTGACGGGTGGAATATATTGCAGATTTTTTTCGAAGTGATGATAATGAAAATAAAAAAAAAACTGTTTAACTCGCGACATTCCTGTTTATACTTTATGCTAAGCCTGAAAGCATAGTGATCAAATATCTTCACTACACGCAGCTCTCTGAAAAGTTGGTCAGTGTGAGAATCATAAGGCACGTTACACACAATTCGTAACACTCTTTTCTGCAATAGAAATAGTTTCTGCAGATCGCTTTTTGTCTTCGTCCCCCAAGCTAAATGGCAATTATTCAGATGAGATAAAAGCAATGAGTTATACAAAAGCAACTTAACTTCTTTTGGAAGATCATGACGATGTCTATGCAGCATACCAGTGATACGAGAGAGCTTAGAAATAATATAGTCAACGTGTTCAGGCCAAGACATGTGCCTAGAGAAAAACACCCCCAAAGTCTTAAGCGTGCTTACCACTTCGATAGGCGAAGAGTCTAGAAAAATATCACTCGTAAGTTCAGGGTTCTTATTTTTGGGGCAAAAAAAGGTCGCCTTAGTTTTCTTCTTATTATGAGATTATTTGATTTAGCACATGTGTGTAGAGCTTGTATGGTGTCATTAGCTACCTGCGAAATTTCATTATAATTCTTACCTGAAAAAAAGAGGCTGTTGTCATCCGCGTAAATGATAAACTTCACTTGCTGCGCAATGTTAACGATGTCACTAATATATATATTAAAGAGCAATGGCCCAAGTATGCTTCCTTGTGGTACCCCAGACTTAATTGGCTTGATATCAGAAAAGTGACCTTGAATACTAACATACTGACGCCGTTTTTCTAAATACGACTTAATGAGAAGCGCTGCATGTCCCCTAATACCATTAAACTCTAATTTTTGAATGAGCAACTCATGGTTAATGTAGTCAAACGCTTTTGTAAAATCGATGAATATGCCCAGTACTATATTCTTATCTTAAAAGTTGCGCAGTATAAATTCTTTTTCGTCAAGCAAAGCTAGTTCCGTAGAACGTTTCTTTCTAAATCCGAACTGAGATTCTGTAATGACGTTATGCTTTTCCAAAAACACAATAAAACGATTATGTATAATCTTTTCTAGGCCTTTCGAAAATACTGGGAGAAGTGACAAAGGTCTGTAGTTGTTCATGTCACTTCTATCGCCTTTCTTATAAAGCACTATCACCTTGGCTATCTGCATCCTTTGGGGGAATGTAGCCGTTTCTAAACAGAGATTAAAAATGTACGCCAGGTAACGGCCGATAATGTCAAAACGTATAGTACTGGGCGTATCTGTATACCATCGGCGTCGCAACTGTGACTAACGTTTACGTTACGAAACACTGACACCACTTCATCTTCACATTCTTCAGTGACTGGATTAAAATAGAAAGTTTCCATAATTCTTCCGTTCATATAACTGCAAGCATTAGTTGTATTGGAGTCCCCCCCTAGATTTACAAAAAAGTCGTTAAATACATCAGCGAGAGAACGACCAGTCAATTCAACGTTATTTTGTGTTATAGATTCAATGCTGTTTTGCGTGTCGTTGCGATTTAAAACAGAATTCAACTTCCTCCACATCACGTCAGTGCGGCCGGGAATTGGGCTGAACAAATTGTGGTAGTAGACGGTTTTGCATTTCTTTAGTTCCTTGTTCAAATTGTTCCTGAACGCCTTAAAAATTTTAAGCTTGTCTGGGTCTTTTGTTTTAATGAAAGCTTGATATAGCTTGTTTTTTATTTGTACCTTTGCAATTAATTCTGCCGTTATCCATGGTTTCCGGGCTTTTTTTAGTCTCCTTACTTTTCGATTGGGAAAGTGGTTCACGTAAATAGTTTTGAAAATATGGAGAAATTCATCCTAAGCTTCATTCGCGTCAGTTTTGTCTAAAACCCCTTCCCGGGGTTTAATCGAGTTCTTGCATTCAAGTCCTGACGATGAACCCTGGGCGCTTGCTGAATGACAACAGGTGCCAGAAATGCTGCATGCGATGCTTTGCGGGCCGTTGTTGACAGGCGCTGTAGTCTACACGGAGCGCTGGGACGGCTTAGGAAGTGTTCGAAGGGCAAAGGACCCTTTCCCGCCCACGGAGGACGAGTCACATGTTTTACAAGAAGACCCTGAAGCAATCCTACACACAACGAATGCAGACAGTGCCTACATTACACCCCCAGCTCACTACCTCACAAATACACTCACTGAGAGCCATCCAGCTTAACACACTCATCGCCCCCACCCGACTTTTCCTTTATCGTTTCAGATCAGATCCCTCCCGTCCCAATTGCTACGTCGTTGCTCTCCCTACAGTAGTGACATGTGCGCTGACATTCGAGACAGCTCTCTCATGGCTGCATGCCGGTCAAATGGACGAGTCTATAGCGCGATAGAGTGTTGCAACAACAGCAGTACTCACCTTGGCAGCGGCGTAAGCAGCGGCGTGCTCTTTGACGACGCCCGCGTGGGAAACTATGAAATATACACGAAACGTCACTACGTAAAAATACAGCACGCACAACAAAATAAATTCACTTACGAGAAATAAAAATACACTGGAATAGACACAAATATATTATTAAAGCTAAACAAACCATCAAAATCCCGGAATATAGAGAATACCTCAACGGCGATGTAAGGCGATCCGAAGGGAGAGCAGAGAGGATCTAAGACGTCGTACCCAGAATTCCACGGGCGCGGGCTAAAGGGTACTTGGGTAAAAATGCAATATATAAATTGAGTGGGGCACCTAGACAAACCCTTTATTTGAACAATCAACTAATCTTCGACCACAAATACAGTACAGAAACAGTAAGGCTAAGCATTTGAACAGTATTCTTACAAATTGAGTCAGAAGTCTATCCAGTGCTCCATCTATCGGGCAGGCGACACATTGGCGCCATCTACCCGATTGATGGCACCATTTCGCGAATGCGTCAACAATATATCACAACGCACTCAATCGCATTGAAACAGAAATGAGTGATCAGATCACTCTTCCAAGTCTACTCTCAAGATGTACTGAGGACAGAACCTCATGGAATCCCTTACGCCGCATTCACACTGGCGGTCGAACCGCCTTCGGCCAAGCGGTTGTGAACGCAGTTGATAAAGTTCGAACAATATTTCACGCGCGTTTGTTGATTAAAACGAGCGGATCAGCTTCGCGGCGGCGATTCGAACGCCTGTGTACTTGGACCTTTAGTGTGATTTTAAACCGAACGATGGCTCATTTTTGAGCTAAATACTATGTACAATGCAGCTCTGATGTTAGATTTGTGAAGTAACTGGGTGTATAGTGTCACACTGTATGAGAAACAAGATCCCTCCTTAGACACACTTTGGAGTCGCTCCTTTAAAAGTTCTTGTCCGTCCTTGAATATTTTTCAGGCCTTGCATGTCATCGGATGACACGGACGTTGTCCTTGGAAACTTCCCGATCACGCACGCCTCTGGCCTTGTGGTCAACATGGGAGTAGTTCTCCAGGGTGGTGTATCTGTCATAGCTTCACCGTTTCTCAGCCCTGAAGAAGTATGCGATATCGTCAACAAACATAAGGTAAAACAGTCGTACATCACGATAAACGTATATCCCCATAGGAAGCTTTTACCTCACCACCACATGTGCGCTGCGCGACACTGTTAGCGCAAACAAGCAATCGCCGATCTTTCGTATTCTTTTTCTTTTGGCTCATATTCTTACATCAGCATTTTTGCATCGCCTACGTTGTGCATGATGCTGCATGAGTGGCGCATCCCCGCACTTCCTACGTGCTTCAAGTCGTCCTAAAATTGACTGATTTAGGGGTTTTCGATGAGGCTCTAAATGTATTTTCACTAGTCGAAAATCGAATTAGTAAGCTTGAGGCCGCAAGTTTGCAAATTAGTATGTGCTTTGTAATCCCTGACGCCCACCGTGGCTAATAATTGGTTCCCCCCAAAAAATGTTTTTTTTTCTTACAGTGGAGCTGTTAAAGGGATACTGAACCAAAGAATTTAGTGCCCATAATAAGTGGCGCACGTTATTTCTACGATTCAGCAGCCGCCGGTGTGCGCGAGCACACGCAACGAAAATAACGTCAAAGACCTCCATTCTCGCTTAAGAGGACAGTGAAATGCATGGGCTTTGGGCCAAAGGAGGATAAAGACAGGCTTTTCATCTCTACAAGTGAAAGCTACGTGCTTGTTAGACCAATTAATCGCTTACCTTTTACACCAGACACCAATGTGTAGATGAAAAACTTGTCTTTATTCTCCTTTGGCCCGAAGCCCATAGATTTCACTGTCATCTTAACCGCGAATGGAGGTCTTTGACGTCATTTTTGTTGCGTGTGCTCGCGCACACCGGCGGCTGCTGGCTCGGGGAAAGAACGTGCGCCACTTATTATGAACACTAAAGTTTTTGGTAGTGTATTCATTTAAGGGCTAGTTTCCCCAAGATCGTGTCCGGTACCAAACAAATGTCGACACCCATGGCCGAACAAAACACTCTGGTTGCCGCCATCGCTCATAGATGGCGGTAGCTGTCGAGAGTGTTGTGTTTGCCGGTTGTCTGCTTACCGCCGTCGCTCATAGATCTCGGCAGCATTTCTTCGGAGGAAGAAGAGCCAGAGTGGAACGAGCGGCGATGTGCGCAGCAGTGCGAATGATTTCGCAACCGCCGCGAGGCCGCTAACGCCTAAAGTTCAACTGCATCGAGCGCTTTAGATTCTTTCACAAGGGAATCCCTTGTGAAAGAAGAGCAAATCGCTCGCTTGGAAAGCCACCGCCGAGAACTGAAGCTACAGCTCCGCTGCTCTTCCTTCTTCACCAGAGTGGAAATGCTGAAAGTCTTTTAACACATTATTTATAGGGTTGGGATCTTTGAAAGCCTTCACAGAAACGTGACTCAGTACAATGGAACGCAAGCTCCAGGTTGAAAGTAAAGGAATATAGTCTGTTGCAGGGTAAGAATAGCAGGGCAAGCCTTTAGAGGATACTCCGGCGATTTTTTGAGCTACCCAACTAACTATATTTTCGGAATCGCCGGCCTTTATCCCATCCGGTATGCTATTTAGTGGCACGAAGTTCAGATCAGTTATGAAATCGGCAAGTGAAAATGATGCCAACAACCGTCATTCAAATATGCCCGCGCTTTCATTCTCGAGACGTCGGGGGAAGGCAGGCTTGCAGGTTGAAAGGGATGTCTAAAAATGAATAATACGGATCATTTTTGTTTCGTGCTGCTGCGTGGGTGCTGGAGCGAGCTTCCAAGGCATTCATGTGACACAGTGAAGCTGCTTGTAATCAGTTGGAAACAAAGTGTACAGTTAAAAGATCGAACCCTGCATCCTGCCGACGTCACTTTTTTATTGTTGCTAGTAGAGACTTTTACTTTGAATAACACTGCGAGTACCAAAACTTTAAATGCAATAACTTCGCGAAAAACTATTTATTTGGGCCCAATATTTGGGTTACTATTTCAGCGATGTCTGTTGTTGTGTTTACCAAATTTTCACACAAGTCATTAACTATGATGAAAACGCCGGAGTACCTCTGTAAAGGGGTACTACAAGGAAACCATCAATATCTTGTTAAAAAAGACACGAAAAGGAATTTTAAAACAAATTAAACGATTAGCAAAGAGCACCGGCTGAATGCCGCGAAAGCCTCGTTTGTAATGCCCGTCTAGGACCCTTGATAGGTAGCGACGGTGAGTGTCTTGACAAGAACTATAGACGCTTTCCACACGCCCAAGGTTACAGCCGCCATCGCTGACCTTCCCTTGTCTTACGGAGATACCGAGCCACTGAAACGGGTATTGACGAGCCTCTAGAAAGGTCAATGCAGGGTAACCTGGCCTGCTATGGTCATGACGAAGTGAAGAAAATGGAATACGACGAAACAAAAATTGAAGGTCAGTTGTGGCGGCGCCCAGGCACAGCTGCTGCAACGCGACTGTACATGCTTTGAATCTGAGGTCATCCCGACAGCTCTACGGCCAGCACAAGAGAAGAGGGGAGGGAGGAACTTTTTGTTTTTGTCCTATAAAAGAGGAAAATTAAGATACTGAAGCTTATATTTTTGTATGGCTTTCTCCTTGCACGCACGTCGTGATGCTTCTCTTCTTTTGACGGCGCATGCTCGTCTTGCGTGTTTTATTTCCAGATTACGTCGATGTTTTTGTTCACGTCGCGGCTGCAAGCCCTCGTGCAGGTCATGCAGCGCACGGGAACCCGCCTCGGCAGCGTGCGAAGGATCGGGGTCGGCGGAAGCCTCCTGAGCGCCGAGCTCTTTGAGGAGGCGCTGTCGGTTTTCGAAGGGACCGAATGCCTGATGAACATGTACGGCCTGTCGGAGGCCTGCTCCATCATCTGCTCTCCGTCCATTCGCGGAGTCAAGCATGTTGACATGGGCTTCCCCGGTGCCATGACTGAAATCAGAGTGAGTCGGGTTTCCCTGGTCAAACATCCGTTTGTGTGTCGCGCGAGTCGAGGTGCGGCTCGCGGCTCCCTGGTAAGCGAACACCTCCCCCGCAAGGTCAGAAAATAAGGAATCCGAAGTAAAAGGCAGCCTGCGTTTTGGTAGCTTCGTCAGCGTACACTGGTGTGAGGCCCTCTTCACAACAACGAAGGCGGTAAGATTAGAACTGCCTGCAACCCTAATGTATAGTACAAACACCTAACTAAGCTGCTTGAGGGTGCAGCGAGGTCATTCGAGCCGAAATTTAGGGCGATGGTTTTGTAGCGGTCCATCGGCCTTTCGCCACCGATAAAGGACGACGACGTTACTTATCGGTACGAGCCGACGGCACGAGATTAAGCAGAGCGTTTTTACCTAAGCGCTGGTCGTTCGCACAATCTCTCCCGTTCTCAACAATTCGAACGCGCTACAGTTTCAAAAATTGGGACGCACAATGAGTTCAGAAACACAGGGGTATTCACTGGACGCCATATTTGAGGGCGATGTTTATAGCGCATGCCCAGAGCTATATCCTACATTAATAGCTGCTAAGACCGGCAGTCTTGATGGCGAGAAATGCGCGTTGCAGAAGAACTCTGCTCGCGTCAGCACGCGCTCGAGCAGTCGCGCACACAGCTATGGCCGCCGGTGAATACAACCAATTAGCGGCGAGATGTTTTGTTGGCGCCCTTTTATGGTTCCCTCTCGTGACGTCCTTTTCTTGCGAACAGCAAGTTTGACGGTGTTTGTAATTAACGTGATTGAAGCCTGAAATCATTGCGCTCTGAAATTAACACTGCCAACACCGCCAAAATGAGTTCTTCCATTACCCTTATCTCCATCGATAAAAAATCCTTTGCAGACGTCATCGTCAGCATTCGGCCAATCGTGGAAGGCCAATCTTAGTGATGCTTTCGAGTGCTCACGTCGTCAATAAAAGGTATTCACTTGCGGCGGCCATGGCTGTATGCACGACTGCTGAACGCGTGCTGACGGCGAACTGCCACAGTTCTTATGCAACTGTGGTGATTTCGGATTTCAATGTAGAAAAAAAGAAGACAACGACGAGGATGAATGCTGATGTGGCTGGTTGACTGTGTGTTTGTGTGCACGGAAAAAATTTGGCGCGAGTGGCCGGTGGTGGAAAAAGAAGAGGTAGAAGGAAGCCAGGAGCCGACCGTACAGGACAAGCGATCAGGGCCCGGTGGACGAAAAAACCGACCCGCAACGATAGGCGTGGTCGGCACGGCTTCAGTTCGTCGTCCACAAATACAGGCCTGGTGAGCGGGCCTCCGAGGCTGCCCTGTCGCTACTTCAAGCCACACTCTTCAAGCCATCCCGTCGTCCACTACCCGGCCCCAACGCGCCAATCTACCTGGCATCAAGACTTCGGAGAGTCAACCATGATCAGAACTCAGACCCGCTTCACGGGCACTGTGACGTACTCTTCTTTAATTACCCTTTAAGTGTTAGATTTTCCCATATTTTTTTTTTTTTGATTTGCTCATTCTTTAGTTATTTAACGCTTTAATATATTTTTGTACTGGCCCAAAAATGTCGCCTCTTTGTCCATACTCTTCGCGTCGCACTCCCACGCAAGCGTGAACACGGTCCACTACATATCTGGCGTCCGCGACAGGACCTTGCTCTTAACTGACACGCCATAGAGCTTCACGTTGCGAATCGGTGCGACGGCTGAGAATAGATACCGAGAAATTAATGAAAGTTGGCAAGGAGTTGGGGTTGTCCGGGGCAGCTTTGAAACAATGAATGGATGAAGAGCGAGCGCGCGAGAGGGACAAGCGTACAGCAGAACGCGAGGCTACTAAACAAGCAGAAGCCCTTGCTCGGGCTCGCTTAGAACTTCTAGGCTCTTACTCGTGCGCGCCTAGAGCCAGAACGCGCGGTACTGGAGCTCGAGTTTACGATTACAGGAGCGACAAGAAAGTGCAGTAGAGGGAATTCCGAACGCGTCTGGTGCGGGTACACCTGCTGGCTTTGCGCAGGGGTACTGGAGCCCACACAAGGTCATCCCCGCTTTCAATGAGAAATGCGACGAGCTTGACGCCTACATCCAACGATTCGAGCGGGTGGAAACGAGCCAAGAGTGGCCACAGGATAAATGGGCCTTGTCCCTGAGTCTATGCTTGACAGAGGAGGCATTAAGTGTAGTCGGACGCGTGGCTGCTGACGCTGCTAGAAACTGCACTGTGCTTAAAGGAGCTGTGCATCGATATTCAACTGGATTGTTTTTCTCTCTACAAGAGCTTACTGGCACACCTGGGACTCAAGGATACTCACACGCAACGCCATTGGCCAAGAAACTCCTTTGTGGCGGCGTAATTTCAAGGACAAAAGCGATCATTTTCATTCAATCTCTCCTTTGCAAAATTTGATGACGTAACTCGGGGATCGCAGTACACCCAAGTGACGATATTTGAATGCGGTTCATAGATTAGATTCGAGCATAGCGTGGGCACTCGACTTGGGCTCGTGACAATTGCTAGCTCGAGAAGCATTCGGGTAGTGACCCGTGTCCAATCGCTGCAACGACGACAACAGCCGAGCCATAACAATGTCTGGAACTCAGCGCGTGTCCTGCGCTTTGCCAACCCCAGCGCGTGGCTATGATCAACACTGGCGGCATATAATCGGCTCCAGATCACGTGGCCGCTTGTTCTGGCTGCGAGTTGAGGGGGTGAACGCTGCTCGTTTTTCTTACATTTTTTTCTGGGACTTATATTGCGTGGGGTGAAAAACGAACGCGTGTTTCATAGGTCATTAACGTTAGGGATCCGTTTTAAGAGGTATTTGTGCACAGTACAAAAATTGTTGCATCGCTCCTTTAAGCAGACTCTTCTCCAACGATTTCGGTATACGAAAGAAGGGTACCGGGCCAAGTTCAGAGAGGCAAGACCAGAGGAGGCAGAAACAGGCAGACAGTTTACTGGTCGTCTGTTGGGATATTTTGACCATTGGCAAGAAATGGTCAAAACTGAGCGTACTTACGACGCACTCCGGGACAAAATAGTGTCAGAACAGTTTCTTAAGAGATGTCACCAAAAACTGACCATCTATTTCAGGGAAAGGGGCTGCCGATCATTATCTTGAGGCTCAAGGACTAGTCCATCTTGGCAGAACAAATAAGGACCAAGAGGCGAAGCCATTGGGGAAAGCGAAGATTTCTAAGCCTTCTAATGCAACGGGGAGACCCGCGTGTTTTTTTTTTTGTTTTTTTTTTGCAATAAACAAGGTCATGGTGCAGCAGACTGTTGGTCCAAGTCAAGGGGATCCAACCCAAAGTCGACTGTTTGCTGGAAATGTCGCAAAAACGGGCATAAAGCAGAGTCTTGCCCTAACAAGACAGACGCGGGTGGACAAGCATTGTGTTCCCTGGCGCCTCAGAATGAGCCTGGGAAAGTTTGTTTGGTCAGCCATTCCCTTAAAAGAAATGTGAAAGCAGAGGTGGATGAAAGAAGAGTCGATGTTCAAAGAGATGGCATGCCAACGGCTGAAGGACTGGTTGAACGACAACCTGTCATTGTATTGCGTGATTCAGGATGCAACTCGGTCATGGTAAAGCGATCCCTAGTTTCTGACGACAAACTGACAGGAAGGAATCGATCGATCTAACTTCTTGACCGGACTGTTAGATGCCTACCTGAAGCGGAGGTGGACATCGGCTCTCCTTATTTCACGGGCAGAGTAAGGGCGACCTGCATGGAAAGCCCGCTTTATGATGTCGTCTTGGGCGATATCGATGGCGTACGGGATGCTTCTGCTCCTGGTGTCAAGTGGTGAGCAGACCAAAAGTTTCTTCCCCTGCAAGAAACGCCCCAAGAAAAAGACAAAATCTTAGGCAAATAACGAACTTGGGCAGGGACGACCTCCTCATCGAGCTCCGAAGACCAGAAAGGCGAGCTTGAGGCTAGTGTCGTAACTATGCGGACTTCGGCGAAAACTGCTGGCTATCAGTTGCAGAAATAAATCCACTAGACATCAACCCGGCGGAGCTAAGCACCAAGCAAAAGCAAGATGCTACACTCCAAAGATGCTTTGAAGCAGTGGGAAGCAAGGTTGCCTCAAGATCAGCCGACATCGAGTTCGTGCTGATGAACGGGATTCTTTTTCGACGGTACATACTTCCGTCACAAAAGGAAATGAAACAACTCGTTTTCCCAACTGGCCTCCGAACATTCGTTCTAAAAAGGGCACACGAAAGAATACTATATGCACATCAAGGAATCAAAAGAAGGACAGATCGAGTCCTCAAGGAGTTTTACTGGCTAGGGGTACAAGGGGATGTCACGGGGTTTGTGAAGTCATTCGACATCTGCCAAGAAACCGTTCCAAAACACTCGGTAGGCCGCATGCCTTTGGGAAAAATGCCCGTGTTCGAGACGCCTTTTCAACGGGTAGCAATTGACATCGTGGGACCACTGTCACCAGCCTCAGAGGAGGGCAACCGTTACGTACTAACCATGGTGGACTACGCGACCCGCTATTCTGATGCAGTTGCCCTACCAAGCATTGAGACGGAGAGGATTGCGGAAGCTCTCCTCGAGATGTTTTCCCGCGTGGGATTTCCTAGAGAAATCATCAGCGATCGGGGCAAATCATTCACATCCGGACTCATGAAGGAGTTTAGTCGTCTCCTCTCGTTTAAGCAGATTACAACCACGCCCTATCATCTCATGGCCAAAGGCCTCGTGAAACGGTTTAATGGCACACTGAAACAGATGATACGACGAATGTGTCAAGAGAGCCCGAAAATATGGGACCGATATTGGCGCCACTACTATTCGCGTATCGCGAAGTGCTGCGGGCCAGTGTTGGGTTTGCACCATTTGATGTCCTGTATGGCAGGTACGTCCGAGGACCGATGGTCGTATTAAAGGAAGTCTGGACAGGAGAGCACCTTGACGAAAACACGAAAACCTCGCACGGCTACATGGTCGAGCTCCGCTAGCGCTTAGAAGACA